TAAGACCCCAGACGCTATATCTTTTGATAGCCGGGCACCATCAGCTTTCTTCACCACATTTGCTTATTCACCCTCTTTGTCTTCAGCAGTTGTGTCAGGAAGGTGAGCATCATAGAATGCCAATTTAATAGCAGAAAGTATTCTTGCATTGAGGGAGTACTGGAGTGGAAGCCCAGTGTCCTTCTGCTACCTTAATACTAAACCTATAAATATATGCCCATAGATCTATTTCCGCATCCTCATATATAACCATAGTTGCGTATGTACATGCCTTTATCTAGACCAATGTAAATGCCCTTTGCCTCCCAACTCTTTCCTCTATTTTCCTTGACTTTCCCTTGTCCCACTATCATACTCAGTCCCCCCATCAGGGTTTCAGCAATTCCTCTTTGTTATATTACCCTTGGTTTAAGATATGCTGAGCACATTCTTCCCTTTTGGTTTTCTAACTTTATGTCTTTGCACATTTCATTGTAATATTTTATTTTGTCTTTTTGTGCCACCCTTTGAGATTTCCTATTCAGCTCTTTGACATCACCATCTACTCCATTTTCCTTAGCTAGTTCTTGATTAAGAGCAAGTTTCAGAGTTTCTTCTGACATCCACTTTGATATTTTCTTTTCCTTGCCTTTTCAAGGGCCTTTGCTTTCTTGCAAAGGCCAAAAGAAGAAACGATGAAGTAAAAAGTTGAACAGAAAATTTCAAAGGGTAGTTAGAGAAGACAACGTAAAGTATTATAATGAAATTGCAAAATCCTAGTATTAGAAAGCCAAAAAGGCAGGACAGGCTCAGCAAATCCTCAACTAAAAGAACTAAAGTAGAAATTGGCGTCTTGAGTTGCAATAATGAAATATTCTATGGGCAAAATATTGAAGAGGGAATGAATACCCAGAGTCACTGTACCAAAGAGAACTAGTTGACATTTAACCATTTCAAGAGGTGGCATATGATCAAGAACTGAAGGAAGAAGTTCAAACTTCACTGAAGGTATTAGCATAAAACAAGGCTCCTGAAATTAATGGAATCCCCAATTGAAATGTTTCAACAGGCTGATCAAGTCCAAGAATCACTCACTGTCTTATGACAATAAGTTCGGAAGACAGCGTGAAGAAAATCATACTTTTAACCATTCCAAAGAAAAGTAAGCCAAGAGAATGCACAGTTCTAGAACAATATCACAGCTATCACATGCTTGCAAAATTTTGCTGATGATCATTCAACAATGGCTTCAGCAGTATATTGATTGACACTTGCCAGAAATTCAGGCTGGATTTATTATTGATATCAATGGATCTTGGCTGAAAGCAGAGATTACCAGAAAAATAATTACTTGTGTTTCATTGACAAAGCCAAAGAATTTAACTGTGTGGATCATGACTATGGATAGCCTTGAGTAGAATGGGAATTCCAAAACATTCCATTGTATTCTAGTGAAACCTGTACATACCGTAAACAGAACAAGGGAATATTGTGCGCTTTAAATTTTTAAAAAGTGTGTGTCAAGGTTGTATCACCTCACCATACTTACTCAGTATGCTGAGCAACTTGTCTGAGAAGCTGGACTCTGTGAGGAAAACTGGGCATCAATTTCAGAGGAAAGTTTGTACTTGCTGATGAAAATAAAAGATAGCAAAAGAAAAGGAAAGATTGCAGCCTTCAATATGGATGGCAACTTAATGTAAAAGAAAACCAAATTCCTCACAACTGGACCACTACATCATTGTAAATGGAGAAAATATTGAAACTGTCAAGGATTTCACCTTGCACAATCAATCAATCAATGTTCATGGAAGCAGCAGTCAAGAGATCAAACGATGCATATCATTGGGTAACTCTACTGCACAAAACCTTTTAAAGTCTTGGAAAGGAAGGATGTTACTTTAAGGACTAAGATTTGCCTCTCCCAAGTCATGGTATTTTCAGTCATCTTATATGCACTTGAAAGTTGGACATTGAATAAGGAATACTGAAGAAGAATTGATGCATTTGAATGATGGTGCTGGAGAAGAATTTGAAAATACCATGAACTGTCAAAAGAGCCCCCAATAAAATGATTTTTTAAAAGATATTAAAAAAAGAATAAATCAATCCATCCTGGTATAAGTATAACCAGAATGCTCCTTGAAAGCAAAGATGGTGAGACTTCCATTTCATACTTTGGACACTTTATTAAGAGAGAGATCCATCTTTCATAATGAACATCATGATTAGTAGAGGGGTAGCGAAAAAGAGCAAAGCCCTCTAAATTTACCCAACGACTGCACAATGGACTAAAACACAACCATTTTGAGGATGGCACAGGACCAGGAACTGGTTCATTGAGTTGTCCATACATTCACTATGAGTTGAAACCGAATCTCAGGAACCTACCTAACAACCAAAATAGGCTATACCACAAAAAGGGCATCAGACTGTGATCTGAACCTTATAGGAGAGGGTTTATATGCCAAACCAAAGATACTCCCGGCCAGGTCCAGTTGACACAAAGCCTAATTATCACACAGGATTTCAGGCTTGATGAAAGTGCAGGAAATGGAGTGAGGTCTGTTAGTGTCTCCTGACAGGACCTGATAACCACTTCCAGGCAGTGATGTATGCATTACTGAGATGGCATGCAGAAAGCCTGCTTTCGGATTTCTTTAAGTAGCTAAGCTAAAGGGAGGTTGATTGAAAGAAAAGCACGAGATTTGTGTTTAAACTGAAGACATTTGGGAACCAAAAACCTTAACATTATTTTGGACATTGAGTCACAAAGTTTTTCTGAAGTCTGCTTTCCTCGCAAAAAAAAAAAAAAAAGTAGAAGATTCAGTCACTTCAAGAAAGAAGTTGCATGAGCTCTACATGTGAGAGTAGCTGCTAGGAAAGGACGGGAACCAATGGGATTCAGGGAAGGGGGTCCAAGACATGGGTCACTGTGGTGGTGCTGGATTTGGGGCTGGGGTACAATATTAGAAATGGGGTGGTATCATCCACTTATGACCATCGAGCTCATGTCTGGAATCGCGAGCTCTCCATTCTTCAGATTCACCCCACGAGGCAGCCCACAACCAACCAGCCAGAGCGCTACGGAAAGAACGAGCCTAGGTGCAGACTCGATTGCTTCGGTTTTCGACCGCGGCGCGGCGCGGCGCGCATGCGCCGGAGCGATTGGTGCTGTCTGGCGGCTGGGCGTGGGGCACGCTGGGACTTCGTGTCGGCGGGAAGTCGCGGGCCGCGCGGCGCTGGGAAGCGGGCGGAGGCAGAATGGTGAAGCTGACGGCGGAGCTGATCGAGCAGGCGGCGCAGTACACGAACGCCGTGAGGGACAGGGAGCTGGACCTTCGAGGTGGGTTCGGGAATCTGGTGGACCGCAGCGGGACCTCAGGGTGGCGTCCCGTCACGTGCGCCTGGGAAGCCATCCTTGGCCCGCGCTCGGCTAGGCGCTGGGACAGGCCGGCCCGAGCGTGGCTTCTAATCTAGAGGGATTCTTAGCGTTGTTCCTAACACACCACCGGTTAGGGTTCTCGGTTCCCACTGTTAGCCAAGCCCGCTCCTACTCACCAGTGGTGCGGAATTGGGTTTTCGTGGCGTGTTTGGACGCTTCGTGGACCGCGAAAAGAAACGTAATGGTTGTAAACCTATTGCAGGGCGCGCGATTGCTTGGTAGTAAAAACGTTAAGACAGTGTTGTGAGAATCGATCACATTCACATAATCATTCTTCTTTTATGAGGAAGGAAACGAAATCCAGAAACAGAAGTGCTTATTTCTAGTCTCTTAATACTCTGGTTAGCGTTCGTTGTATATAGATATAATTTTTTATCAAAACATTTTTTAAAAGCTGCTGGTTCTTTGTAAGCACCACTATCACCAAGCACTGGGCTCTTCACTAAATCCTAGGGTGTGAGTGGTGAAAGCTCACAGAACTCTTCCGATTCCTATCGATGTTTCCCACCTAGTTCGACTTGATAAGAAACTGGAAATACAGTTAGCTAATTTAGCATTTCATGAAGTGCCATTAGAAAAATGAAGAGTAGCTTCTCTGGGGATCATGGTATTTGCCCACACTGAACACCTTCTTAGGAGCATCGCATTTGCTGCTTTCTGCTTATATATTCCTTCCTGACATTTGAGAAATCCCAGAGCTTGCATTTTGTTAAAATGACGTTTCATAAACAAAAGACTTGGTTCAGTGCTTATGTACATTGGTATATTTCTAAAGTGCATCTATTGTTGAGAATGCTTGTTTTGATGCAATATTAGCTCTCCTAAAAATTTATTTTATTTTGGTTTTTGTTATTGAGAATATACTTGCTGTGATGTAATTTTTAAAACTCTGAATTGCGTGCTTAAATCCAAGTTTCAGTTTATTTCTTCCAGCACCTAACACAGTAATTATGCCCGTATTAGACAAATCAGTAAGTATTTGAGTGAATCGTTACACTGATTTATCGTTATGTGTAAGCCTTTGACTCTCAGCTGAGAAAAGAAAATGAAAGCAACAGTGTAATACCACTACAAACCCATCACAATCCCTACAGTTAGGGATAGGAGCCATGATAACATGAATTCTAAGGGTCTGGGTCTGGCCTGTGTTGATAAAAAAGAGGTTGAAAGTTATTGTCAACAGTATATGACAAAGATTGAACATTGACAACTGATAGCTCAGAGTGTCGATCCCTGTTATGCTATCTGATTAGCTGTAGGCCATGATTAAATCATAGAGCTGCCATTTCTTCATTATGTTTTTAATGGATGAAAAATTTATAACCTACATGGTAGGGTAAAATATTAAAAAACAATAGCCATCTATTCCACTTGAGCAAGGTAAAGCACCTTATTAATATTGTAAGTTGTACTTAGTGATCTTATTAGTAAGTATCATTATAGTCCATGTCTTTGTTCTCACTATCATCTCCATGCCCACTGCTAGGTTATAAGCTTCATGGCAACTGATCTGTGGATTTCTTCTTTATTTTTAATCATTTTATTGGGGGTTCATACAACTCTTACCACAATGACCTGTGAATTTCTTGTTAACATCTTATATCTAGTACAATGTTTGACACTTCATTTGACATATCTAAGGTTAACCACAAGGTCAACAATTCAAGCCACTCTGAAGGAGAAAGATGAGGCTGCCTACACCCATAAGATTTACAGACCCAGAAACCCATAAGATTATTATGATTCATAATTGACTCGGTGGTAATGGGTTTGGGATGTGGTGAGTGCTAGGTATACACTTTATCAAAGATTGCTGTGAAATATTGCTGTTGTCATACGATGCATTTTAAAATAAGATAAACCTATGTGTTCTTTATTCCTCTCTTCATTCTCCTTTTACAGGTTATAAAATTCCTGTCATTGAAAATCTAGGTGCTACCTTAGACCAGTTTGATGCTATTGATTTTTCTGACAATGAAATCAGGAAACTAGATGGTTTCCCTCTGTTGAGAAGACTGAAAACATTATTGGTGAACAACAACAGAATATGGTGAGACTATCCTCTGCTGTTTGTATTTAACTACATTTTCATATTACCAGAAAATATAAAAAGTTCGTGAAGGTTTGTAGATAATGTCTTTAGGAATTATTTTGTGGTATGGTTTTGGTTTATTAAAATAGGCAGTATTCTAAAAAATTAATCATTCACTTATATAAATATTGTAACTGAACTATGAATATAGAATCAGGTTAATTTCTCAGCTCTGGAAACAGAAAAGTCATGCAATTAAATATTAAGTAGTTTTCTCTAGTCAGGAGTATCTTTTCCTGCGTTTCACTAGGCAGTGTGGTAATAGAAAGAGCTTTAGGTAGCTTTCAAGAGACATGGGTTATAAAGACAACCGATTCTGTCATTAACCTTCCAGTCTTGAACAGCGCTTCCTCTGTATGCCTCATTACCCCCTCTCAGGGTGTTTGAAGAAGAACCTCTAAAGTTCCTTTCAAGGCCGAAGTCTAAAATCCTAGAAGTAGAGATTGAGCCAATGTTAACTTACATAATTTTCACTTTTAATTAAAGAATCATTCTATTTTTATTTCAGCCGTATAGGTGAGGGACTTGATCAGTCTCTACCCTGTTTGACAGAACTCATCCTTACTAACAACAGTCTTGTGGAACTGGTAAGTTGAATGGGGAAATATATATGGAGGGAAGGAGTTAAAGGGACTACATGCTTTTTATAGAAAATTTTGCAAATCCAACAAAAATCACAGTAAATTCTTTTCCCTTCCCCTCCCCCCCCTCTTCAAGGTCTGGGTGTTTTCTATTATATTTATTGCAGGTGTATTCTCCCACTTTGTGGCTTGCTTGGTAGAGAAGTTCCAGATTTAAGTGTGGTCCACATTGCTAAGCTTTTCCCGTATCGTTAGTACTTTTGTGTTTTGTTCAAGCTTCTCCTGCCCTTCTTAATGAAGCTTTGTTGTGTTCTTTCCGAGACCTTTTATCCAATATGGTGCCCACTAACCAAAACCAAATTCTTTACCCCTTGGGTTGATACCAACTCATAGCAACCCAGTAAGTCTGAAGAGAACTGCCTGATAGGGTTTCCAAATCTTTACTCATGCAAACTGCTGCCGCATCTTTATTCCACACGGGCTTGTGGATTCAACCTGTCCCCTGTTGGTTTTGTTGCTTTAATCACTACCTCCATTTAGCCAAGTAATAAGGATTTAGGTGTTTTACCAGTGTAAAATGCATTGTATGTTGAATATAGCACCCCAAAATAAAGATATTGTCTCGATATTTTTTGAAAGAATTTTTTAATATATTGGTTTAAATAAGATAATAAACAAAGGAACCTCTGGTACAGTGATTAAACACTTGGGCTACTGACAGAAAGGTTGGCTAGTACCCAATGGATCCAAGGTCCACTCTTATAAAGAAAACCGCCTAAACAGTCCTCTTGAGTGGTCTACTCTGCCACATGGGTTACTATGAATTAAAATCAACTCACAACAACAGCATCATCATTAAACTTTATTCGTTTATACTTTCAACTTTATTCTACTGAAAATCTCATATTGCATATGTAGCAGGCAGTATATTTCTGGAATTTATGTACAGTGAACCCTCGCCACTTGGCACTTCGACTTCCGCAGCTTCACTCTATCGCGGTTTTTGCGTAACAGCGCATGCTCTGTCATTACTGCCACTGATTGGCTCATACTGTACA